CCCCTTGGAAACTCAAGAGCCTGATCACAGAGTTCCTTTGGAAAATTAAATTTTAAAAACCAGAAAAATGATGGTGAAGGGGATTTCTAAGCAGGGCTGTGGAACCTTCCAGATGTTAGAACACATTTTAAAGCAAGAGTCATTCAAATAAATCGGTGCTGATATATGAAGGGAAGAACCCAGAAAAAAAATAGGCCCACACAGGAGCAGCCTACCTACAGTAAAGGATAGTGCAGAAGGCTTCTCTCAGCCGGCCCTGGGTCTGAGTTTGGTTGGTTGGTTGGCCTTGTTCTGGAGGGAGGTCTAATCTATGAGGCAGCTCTATCCAGTGGAACTTTCTACAAAGCTGGGAGAATATTAATGTGTGCTGTCCAACATGACAGCCTCTTGTTGCAAGGCGATCCGCGCAAAGGAGGAACTGAAATCTTCATTCTATTTGACTTTAATTAGTCTAACTTGCATTGCTCACGTGATTCTTGACCCCTGCGTTGGACCCTGCAATGCTACAGCCAGAGAGACTCTGTCCATTCGTCCCCCACCCCCACCCCAGCAAACAGCTCTCTCTCCTACATTTTTTTTTTTTTTTAATTTATCTCTGGGAGAGTTTCTTCCCTCTTATCTGGAGCTGCTAAACGCTTCTTCGTGATTTGATGAAGGCGAGAGGGGCAAAGATACTTTATTTTTTTCCTTCTTTGCTAACTAGAATAAGGGTTGACAGACTTTCTTGGAAAGTGCCACACGGTCAGTGTTCTGCAGTCCAGAGGGTCAAGAAATCCCAGCTTGCTCTCATTTAGCCCCAGACTTTATGTAATAGATGGGAGTGGCTGAGGGACCATAAAATGTATTCACGAATACACGCCGTGGGCCAGGTTTGTCCCACAGGCTGCAGTTTGGTAGCCTGGGCTCTAGGGCTTGAGAGTGGGATCTGGAACTTGATGTGGCATGAAGCCAAGGTGCTGAAATACAATCCAAGGACCAAGGTTCACACTGTTCACTGTGAGCTGGGGATTGTTTTGATGAACAAGGGGGCACACCTGGGAAGCCACAAGATGAGGGCCAGCCATGGAAGGTCACCTGCCATCCGTGGGTACACGGAGAAAAGAATTCCCCAAACCCTGTGGGTTCCCACTTTCCCTCTGGCTTCCCAGAGTCACACAGACATGAAGGGGGTGGGGGAGGAAGAGGAAGGTTCCATCAAATTCTAAGATGCTTTCCAGCTTTAACATTCCATCCTCCAGCTCCTCTGCTGCTTCATTTGACTAGTAATGCCTGGATCCCAGCTAGGGCTGCAGAAAGAATGGCGGGATCCATTGGCCATGTCTGCCCTGGGCAGGCTTTGGGAACAGGTAGGACTGGAGAAATGCCACACGCTTCCCTCCTCTGTTTGCTTTGGCTGGGGATCAGGGCCCACATCCTGGAGATGGAAAAGGCAGTAAGGTCTCCCCCTCCCTCCTGAGGGACTCACAACAAAAGCTGGCCCGATGGACGTCTTGCGACACCGGTCCAGCTCTTCCAAGCAGATTTCGGTGGTCATGTGGTCAGTGGCCTCCGAGTTCTGAATTCCCCACCTCAGATCAACAACCTGGGGATTAGAAGGGTGGGGGTTGTCAGGGAGGTGACG